CTTTCGTACAATTACTGTTAATCTCCCCTCCTCCACAGATAGTCCTAGAGTTCTGCTCTAATTACTTGATTTGTGTCCAGATAAACAACCTAACTGCTGAAACATTTGCCACTGATAATTTAGGTATTCTTAGTTAGTCAGCAACTACATCACTCTGGTAGTAGCAAAACCTCCTACTTCTTTTACAAACCTTGTGCTCTGCTTCTATCAATAATTAATACCTATTTCTCTGTGTCTTGTTTTGAAGGACCCTGCCTGGAACCTTACTTGTAGAGGGTCCTCATGCTGAGATTAGGAAACTTAAGCCTATATACAGGCCTGAAAGCTTGAGGGAGAACTGGGGCCAATTCAGGGAGCTAAGCCCCTGGGTTACTTGACTCTAGGTGCCCTCCCTTCTACCTCCAACTTTCCTGCCCTGCCCCACAATTCCACTTTTCATCTACCTCCTTGCCCTCCTTGCCTCAGTGCCCTCACAGGCCCTGTGGCCCCACACGCTCACTCCTCAGGGCTCTTCATCTGAGTACTACACTCAGGCCTGTCTTTGCCTGAAGTGTGCCTCACCCAAGCCTTTGATGTGGAAACTTTATAAAGCTCTCAGAGAATTCCTAAGCTTCAGTAACTTAAATTGTGGGCATCAAGAGGACAATCTATAATCTCCCAGGTGTTAGGGTAGTGCTTTCTCTTCTCCCACTCCTCAGTATCAGGTCTGTTAGCAGTCCCAGGACACAGCTCCCCTTCTGGCTCACAGGAGCCAGGAGCCATTTTCCAGCTGTCCCATTAAATGAAATAAATTGGCATAGTGTACAGTTGTGTGAGGTAATGGTCCTAAACGTTAGCGAACTTGTTTATCTATGATGCCTAAATAGTTCCTTTTCATATATCACCTTAGAGATATTAAACTTTAAAATCTCACAAGGACTTCATGGAGATGCTCCACATTCTAGAATGATTTCACATTTCTTTCCCACTTATTTGCCTGTTTGGGAGACTCAGTCCCTCAAGATTTTTGTTTGCTTTAGGGAACTAATAGCCAATTAAAATGGCTAATCCCAGTTAATTTCAAAATAACACATTTGTACCTACTTAGGCTTCTTCTGGAGTTCTGATGTCTTAGAGAAAGGGTCTGATTCTTGCTTTTAGGCTCTATCGTACCAAATTCTTCTCTTGGCTTCTGTCCTGAAAATAAATGGCTTCTCCTTCCTAGATTTCTTTCTTCGGTCTAAATTATGAGGCAGTCATTATGTCTGTTGGTTCTAGAGGATGTAGGAAATTAAGCTGTACTCTCAATTGCCATAACCAGACCCCTAACCAGTGTCCCTCCCAGCTGATTCTGAGGCTTAGTTCCCTTTGCATCTTGTTTTGCTCCTATCTTCCCCTTCCCCAGTCATGTATGCAGGAAGAGAGCACAAATGATATGGAATGTGAGCATCTGCCAGCAGAGGCGCTGCGACAAGTGACCATTCACCGAGACCCTCTATATGGCTTCGGCTTCGTGGCCGGCAGTGAGAGGCCTGTGGTGGTTCGATCTGTGAGGCCAGGTAGGTGTGCCTCAGAGTATCCCTCCAGCCTTGGCTCCTCCAACAACCTCCAACACCCTCCAACACCCATATTATCTTCAAGGAGCAGAACCTCTGACTACACTATGTTGCTGAGGAATTCACAAAGAGTGGATAAATATTTGCCACTCTTTAACTAGATTTAAGACTGATACACAAGACAAGCACAGTGCTGCCTGCCTGTAATCTCAGCAGCTTGGGAGGCTGCGGCAAGAGGATTGCAAGTTCGAGTCTCACATGGGCAATTTAGTGAACCCTTATCTCAAAAAATGAAAAGGGCTAGGGTTATAGCTCAATGCAGAGCCTTTGATTCAGTCCCTAGAATGCCCCCTACCACCAGAATGCCTGCTAGATACAAACCACTGAGGCAGTGTGGGGGATGCAGAGACTGAAGTTGATCATTGAATAGGGTCTGGGTCTTAGTAAAACTTCTTTTTGCATAGAACATTCATAGAAGAACCATAGTGCATTGGATGAGAAAGTACCATTCAACTCAAGTCAACAAGTATTTTTAGACTGTCTACTCTAAGCCCAGCAATAGTGCCAGAAAATATAAAACACAGTTCCCATCCTCCAGAATCAAACCACCAGGCTGTAGAGATTGGCCCATACTCATGAAATAGATAAGACACCAAAGATCTGAATTAGGATAGAGGCAACAAGTGGGAGAAGAGGATGACAGGAGAATGAAATCTCTGAATTTTAGATGGCAATAACATCTACTGTTATTGAGCATCTGCTACACACTTTACATTATCTTATTTAATCTTTACAGCCAAGCCTGCAAGGTAAGTAAGTAATACTCTTCTTATTTTATGAATCAGAAAACTGACACATAGAGGAAGAGAAATGACTTGGCCAGGATCACTCAGCTAGGAAGCCAGAGAGTCAGAATTTTCTGTATGTGTGATGCCATAAGGGGGGAGTGGGATTTGAATGGGACCATGTGGGATGTAACAAGCCAAAGATCACCCTCAACTGTGAAACCCTGTCCTCACGCATGAAATAAAAATGGTGAAAACACTATTTTGTTTTGAATCTACTATATCTTGACAGAAAAGATAGACTGAAAGGAGCTTTATTCCTGACTTTCTGGGCCTGAGGCTTTAGCTGTTTACAACAGTTTTTCACTCAGTCAAGAGAAGCAGCTGGAGTACAAACTAGTCTTGCAGAAAGTTGATGTATTTTGCAATCCTCAAAGGAAAAGGAAAAGATTTTGTAAGCTCTCTTCAACTAGAGGCCACAGAGTAAAAACACTTCAATACAGGAGTCTGTGACTGACCTCAGGCTGACAAGTCCGTCATGTAGTTTAGCAAAAGACTTTTGAGTCTCTGATCAGAAATCAAATTTGTCCTGGGAAGAGGAACCAGATAAAACGTACTAATTGACTATTGGAAGCTTCTGCTTCAACTTCAAGGTGAAAGAATTCACAGGGCTGACTGAAGGCCCCAGGCTTGGAGGGGGTCAGCTATAAAAGGTAAAAGATGAAGAGAAAGGAGTTGGAGGGATGAAGGGAAGGAACACCCAAGGCAAGAGCCACAAAAAGCCATGGGACTGACAGGCATAACCCTATAAAAAGACTCTGGCTAACCCCCACTGCTGCTTCTTCCCAGGAAGCTGGGTAGCTGTATGTAGAGGATATTTAGTTCAGAAGATGTATGAGGCCATAAGAAGAGACAAAAGGCGTATCTTTTACAGGAACAATCATGGTTGAGCAAGTCAACAAACCACTTGCAAAGGCAATAGGTACCCTGATGCTCCCATTGCAATCATAGGGCTAATGCCTGTGAAGGAGGTTTAAATTCTGTGAGACCTCATCCATTGCAAGGGAAGGAGGGAACAAAGAGGGTGGGAGAAAGGAGGAAGCAGGTAGAATGGCCCTTATCTAACATATTGATGTTTTTGACAGAAATGGATAGAAGGAATGAAATAAATTAAAGGAATTATCCCTTGGAGGATATAATAGCTATCATTCATTGAATCCTTACCAACCTCAATCAACTGTTCTAAGTACCATACATTTATCATCTTATCCACCCAACATTCTTATGATGTGCAAGTACTGCTATTTTCCTATTCTACAGACAGGTAAGAGACTCGGAGACATTCAGTGGCCTATCCAAGGTCCCACAAGTAGTGAATTGCAGGTTCAGGCTTAGACCCCAGGTATGTCTCCCGTGAAGAACACACTCTTTACAACTATGATCCCCTGTCCTGAGGCCCTGTTGTATCAGATGTGGCCTGTTGAGTTCGGGGCCATTAATGTTGAAGAAATAACTGCCACTGGCTGTATTGGCATAGCTATCCTTAGCACAGAGGCCCTAGGCTCCAGAGCCAGGGAGTTGTGCTCAAATCACCTATTGGCTATGTGTGTTCATGTTTTTGAAATTTGGGAAGCACATTTCTTCGAAAAGAGACAGAAACATTGGAATCAGGCCTTTTAAAGTGGATACAAATAAGAGTCAAAGTTGGTTTGAGTACGGAATATGTCATTAAACATTTCTTTCAGGTTTGAGTCAGTCTGGTTCTGACTTCTCATTCTCTCTGAGTCTCTGAAAACACTTTTCTCCAAAAAGAACTTTGCTGAACACCAGAGACAGCATAACTTTGCAATATCGTTTATTCAAGTTAGAAGTATGCCCCTCAGACACATCTGCTTTCTTAACTTCAGCTGCAGGGATGAGAAAGGAAGAAAACAAATTTCCAGCTTTCCAAGAGCCTGTGCATTGCTCCCCCCATTTATTGGAGAGTAGCATCATTCAGTGTTAAACAAAATTAAACCCTTTAGTCTTACCCCTATCTCCAAGGAAGTAAATGCCTAGATCATTCCAAACCAGAAAATGTAAATAATATTCAAGCGAGGTGTGGTGGTGCACTCCTGTAATCCCAGCACTTGGGGGCTGAGGCAAGAGGATTGTTGCAAGTTCGAGACAGCCTGGGCTACAAAGTGAGCCCAAACCCAGCCTTAACTGCATAGTGAGACCCTGTCTCAAAAAGATGAAAAAAAAAAACTATTTAAATACTATTCAAGCTACAAGATTCCTCCCTCTCCTCTTATCGCCTGTACCACCTCCAGCAGTCTGAAAGTCGTTCCTTGCACCTAAGCAAATCTTTCCTATAAAATGAAAATCTGTATTTCTCTTTAGAACCAAGACAGTGAAACACTAATCTCATGTCAGTACAAAGTCTGGGCTTTGGACCTTTTGCTAGCACAGCACATGCAGCTATAGGAGATCCATGCCTCTCTCTTTCTTCATTCTACTGCCCTCCATCTGCCATAAGCAGCAGGCAGCAGCTGGAAATAACATCCCTACCGCCACCGTCCTCAGCTTGCATCTCCTGCTGGCCTCAGCTTGACTCCCTCAGGCACTGTGGCTCTTGCCCAGACTTGTTCTTTCCTGGCAATAGCTCTAAGCTTTCATGCCTCTCTCCTCTCCTCTGCAGGAGGCCCCTCTGAGGACAAGCTCCTGGCTGGTGACCAGATTGTGGCTATTAATGAGGAGGACGTGAGTGAAGCCCCCAGGGAGAGGTTCATAGAACTCATCAGGTAATAGGATCCTCTGGGGCCTTGGCAGTAGCTGAGCAGTGTCCATACTCCTGCCCCACCAGTGGTATTAGGACTACCACTATTCTCCCTGGTATGGGAGAGGAGCTGTCTTGGGCATAGTGGGCATAGTTGTGGCTCCTAGCTGAACTTCAGGGGCCAGCCAGGAAGGGTCACTCAAAGCCCCCACACAACAGGGCCTAGCCTGCTCCAGTGATATGAGCAGATACAACAAGCTTTGTGCTGTACTCTACTGCTCCCCAACTCATCTCCTCACTTGCACCTTTGTTTTAGGGATAGACCAAGGGACCAATGAGAACCAAGCAGCTAAGAAACACTAATATAAGCATAGTGCAAGCAAAACAATGCTTTCACCTCCTACCCTCTCCCAAAATCATGCACACATAAGGAAAACAAAATTAGAGTCCTTGCCCAGTGAATTGAGGAAGGGAACCTGCCACTGTGGCTTATGCCCATAGTACTTGAAATGCTTTAATGTCCTCCCTGGCTGGGGACAAGTGAGAAAGAAAAGGAGTGTTAGGGATCCCCTACACTCCCCATTCACCACCTGTCAATGGGGAATAATCACATTGTCTTTGCCTATCTCTTACACACACACACACACACACACACACACACTTGCACACTCCTTATATGCTTCCCTTCCCCAAACACATGCTACATGCACCATTCCATAGTTTGGAAGACTACATCCATGGGCTAACTTCTGTTTGGAGACCGTGGCTGCTTTCTCCCTCCACATAGAACTATTCCCTGTGTTGCTGATATACAAGTGGAGCCATATTCTTTCTCTCTTCCTCTCCCTTCCCTTGTTCGCTTGTGTAGTCTAGCTCCATCTCCTTCAATTTCTCTTGGTTCAAAGTATTTTCATTTTATTCATCTTTCTGGGTTTTCCCAAAAGCCCATCTGGATACAAAATGACACCCTGACTTTCAAAGGCAGATTTCACATTCTGTATGTGGTACAGCACCTTCCCATCCATTCCCAATGGTCTTACAGTGCTCTGTCCTGATACCCAAAGCAGGTCTTTCTTGCATGTGCCCCTTCTAGCTCAATACTTCAAAATGCATGTGGTCCCTGCTTACCTTCAGTGTGGCATAACACTTGCCTAGCAGGGATGAGGCCCTGGGGTCAATCCTCAGCATCACCAAAATAATAATAGTAACAATAATAATAATAATAATAATACAAAACCACAAACAAAATAAACCCTGATGGCCTTTCTTTTGTCTTTTCTCCATTGCATTCCTCTACTCTTCACACTCTGCTCTTCACCTTCCATCTCCACAACAATATGGGGGAAGTTAAACATGTTCCATCAGGGCATGTTTGAGTTCTTTCCGCCTGATCCCTCAGAAGTCACTGCTGTGCTTATAGTGGATAGCTTGGTACACTAAACAGTGTAGACTGATTTTGTGAGGCGATTCAGAACTCGTTACTCAAAACAGATCTCACTCTTAATAATCTTAGGGACCAGAAAGTCATTCATTCATTCAATTGATAATTATTGTTGGCTACCATGCGATAGGCACCACTCTAGGCACTAAAAATACAGCTGTCAATATGACAAAAGTCCTGGTTACTGGAATTTACATTCTAACAAAAGGAGATACATCATAAGCAATGAAAATAATGAATCAATAATTGTGCAATATCTCAGAAGCCAATACATGTTATTGAACAATATAAAGTAGATCTGCATAAAGAGGATCAGGAGTGCTGAGCACAGGGGTACAGAAGGTAACTTTAAACAGCATAGCCAGTGTTGGTCTCACTGAGAAGGTGGTATTTGAAGAAGGATTTGGAAGAGACGAGGGTGTTGGAGAGAGAAGAACTGGTGCAAATGTCCTAGGTTAGGAGTGTGTCTGACCTGTGAAGAACAGGGAGGAAGCCAATGTGACTGGTGTTAGGTAAGCAGGGTTGTATGAAAGGTAGGTCCAGATCATGGAGGGCCTTGTACACTGTCATAAGGACTATGGCTTTCTTATAAATGAAATGGGGAGAAATTGTAGGGGTTAGAGCAGATGAGCCATGTGATTTATGTTATGCCCCTTCTCTGTTCAAGATAAAGGATTTTCCTATGTAGTTTCCCTATAACACAACTCTTTACTTCTCTTGCGAATTTTCCAACCCTTGCAACTCATTCATGCATGGACTTTGCCTCACCAAATATGGGAAATGTTCAAAGTCCTTGATCAAGGGGTCCAGTTATTTCTTGAATAACCAGACCCAGGGGCATTTAACTCTACTTTTTGAGTGCCTTTGTTCCCATAAACATTTTTAAAAGGCCAACCAGGAGAAGGGAAGATCCTTCAGGCAAACTGCTTTCCTTTCTTTTAGTTCTTTTAAATGATTATGTATTCCTGAAAGTGAATTTCTATACTTCACGGGCTCTTTGATACTAGTATAATTCTCGTGAAAAGAGTTTCAAACTCTTCACCCTTTTGAATATTTGTTATCTGGAGAGTCCTGGCTTCCATCTGTTCCTCCATGGCTCTCATTTTTGGTCCCTGAGCTGAAACAATCTGCTAAGTATGAGTCATGATGACCAAATGACCTCCTTGCATTTTTCTTTTGAGAATCTTCTCTTGTTTAAATGCCAAAATTGCCAATAATCATCATACATGGTTCCCAGGACTCTCTGGGCCTTTGAGGTCCATAATGCAGGTCTTTTTTTCCTTGAGAATTTTCTAGTCTACAGATAAAATTGCTCCTAAGGTTTGGAGATTTCTCCAGAAAGATGTAAAAATGAATAAATAATAAGACCTGGAAAATGACAACCCCAGAAGTAACTGTGATACCATCATCAAATGCCTGTGTAAATCGATATAGATGTTTTGTATTGCCCTCCACAATTAATGTGAGTGAGACATCCACGCAGATACTCAGACTGCCCTCTGTCCTAATCCATACACCTCAGTGCAACCCAGAGGGAAGTTCTGGTGTTGCTTCTTGTACTAGATGAGTACCTAGTGCATGATACACTACTCCCCTGTTCCCTCTTTTCTCTTTAGGAGCGCTAAGGAATTCATCGTTCTTACTGTTCTGCACACTCATCAGGTGAGTGAGCCATATTGCCCAAAGCCCTTCCACCTGACTTTGAAGAGATGACCTCATATTAGAAAATAAAATCATGGAAAGGGGGGAAGGGAGAACAGGACCAACATATGAGATAAGGATTTAAGAGACAACTTAAAGAATACCTTCTGAATATCATGTTCATTCTCACATCTAAGGCTGATTCTGAAGCGATGTGCAATACTGTGTTTTGTGCTGTGCTTCTTCTTTACCAACTTAAACTACCTACTTCTTCAGTTCCAAATCTAACTACTACCCCCTTTTTACTGTGCCCCATATAAATTCTCCTGTCCAATAATGTCCAGTTCCCATAAAGTCTTGGCAGATAGTGGGTGTTAATCTTATTCTTTCATATAGGTGCTTACTAAGAGTCTACAGTGTATGATACACAACACTGTATGTGAGGAATTGCACGTAAAGTTGCTATGATGTACAGTTAGACAAATTTATCTCTGACCTAGTAGTCACTAAGTAGCTGTATAACCTTGGGTGAACCAGTTCCTTTTTTCTGAACCTGTTTCTTAATCTCTAATTTTCTAAATTAAGAGGTTCAGAGTAGAACAGTGTTTCCTAAATGTGACTGATCTTAATAGTCAATATGACTATTTATTAAAAGTAAAATTCTCTTGAGTCAGAGGCAATGGTGCATGCCTATAGTTCCAGCTACTTGAAAGTCTGAAGCAAGAGGACACTTGAGTCCAGTAGTTGGAGATCAACAAGGGCAACATGGCAAGACACTTTCTCAAAACCAGGCCAGGATGAGAGTGAATGTATGTTTAATCCCCGAACAAGGAAAGATAGAAAAAAGGGAGGGTGGAAAGGAAGAAGGAGGGAAAGAGGGAGAGAGGAAGTAAGAATATTTCCAGGGCCCTCTCTCCTCAAGTGTTGGATTCAGAAAGGCCAGTAGTTGTTATTAAATAATCTTTATAGCCATCTTAACTTGAATGCACAAACTGAGACACAAATCATGTGCAAAACGTCACAGTCCTCACTGTACCTCCAGCCTCCCTGTTCCTTTCTAGTGCCCACAACACTTCCTTTTACCTGACTCTGAAACTCTATTCCTTGAGGAGGCTGCACCTGAGATGGACCTTGAGGAAGAGGCAGGATTTCCCAGACTTAAAGAGAAGGAAAGTCTTCATCTTTTTGCAAGAGACAATGTCTAGGCAAAGTCAGAAATAACTCACAGGCACAAGATCATGAGCCTACAAGTCAGGAGGATGGGGTTCAAATCAAGCCCACCACTAAGTGCCTCACCTCATGGCCCTTAGCATTCATGTAAGTCCATGTGACTGTTATACACACTCACACATATGCACTATTACATATATTCACACAGTATCATACATAAATATATGCTCACATATCCTCATATACACTCACACAGATACAGACTTGTATAAATTTTACACACATACACAATACATACATAAATACCATAAATACACATATGACCCCCAAACATTTGCACATATATATGCTAGTGCATAAACATTCTCTCACTCATACACATAGCACTTATATACTCACACATATAACACACCTAGGTAGATAGGCCTTGCTCAATTGCAGCTCTCAGCAGACAAACCCTGGCTAGTCATAGGTATATGAATAGTCCCTTCCTCACCTTAGTGCTTGTGTGCAGTCATCTAGTGGCAGTGGGTAGTCCCTTTTCTTGAAAATGGCCACTAGTTCTCCTCAAAAACATGCTTTTATATGTTTAGAATTTACTGCTTTGATCAGAGACACTTTGTGTTTTAAGGCCAGCTGACTACCCTTTCAAAGTTAGAAACTACCTGAACCAGGCGTGATGACACATACCTGTAAAGCCAACACTTTGGGAAGCTGATGCAATAGGATCACAAGTTTGAGCCCACCTTGGGCAATTTAGCAACTTGATGAGACCCTGTCTCAAAATAAAAAATAAAAAAGAACTGGGGATATAACTTAATGCAAAGGCCCTTGGTTCAATCCCCAGTACTGCAAAGATATTACCTACCTGTCATTATCTCCTAATATTGCTTAATTCTTCATCATAGCTGAAATACTACATTTTAACTTTTCTTTTAAAGTAATTGCAGGAAGTGGAAAAGGTAGTGCAGAGATATCCTGTGTCCCCTTTACCCTGCTGTGTCCAATATTTACATCTTCCATAACTGTAGTACAATATCAAACTCAGGGAATCAGTAGTGGTGTAATGTGTGTGCATAGTTCAATATGAGTTTACCACATGTGAATATACCAACACAATCAAGATACCAGAAAAGTTTTTTAAATCATTTTACTAAATTCCATTCTGTTTAAAATTAATTTTATTGGTATACTTTAAATATACATAGTGATCCCATTCATTATAGGGAACTTGTATCTGTACATGATATATCCTGATTCCTCTTGTTTCCTACTCCCCTCTCCCTTCAATCCCTATCCCCCTTCTTATTTACAAAGCTTTGTTTCCATTTTATCCTTCTTTTACCATTTTTTTCTTTTGCATTCCTTCCTTTCCCCTGTCCCTTCTGTAGTTCCCCTTTCCTTTTGAATATTTTATTCCTATTTCCCAATATCTGTTATATATTTTGGTCTTTATTTATGTTCTTGGTTTTTCACACCAGAGGAATAATGTGATATTTAAACATATATGCCTGAATTATTTTATTGGAAAGTATGAGTCCATCCATTTACTTAGAAACATTTCAAGTTTATCCTTTATGACAGAGTTTTACTCAATTGTATAAAAAAACCCAAATATTTATCCATTTGTCAGTTGATAGGCACTTGGGCTATATCTAAGATTTAGCTATTACAAACTGGAAAAGTTTATTACCAAAAAATGTCTTACATTGTCCTCTTATAGCCATACCCATATTTTCCACTCCCACCCAAAATCCTTGATACCACTAATTTGTTGTTTATTTCTGTAATTATTATTTCAAGATTATTATATAAATGAAATAGCGTCATACTTGGAGATTGGCTTTTTTCACTCAGTACAATGTCCTTGAGATCTTCCAATTTCTATGTATCACTAGAATAGTATTTTTCCAGAATAGTATTCCATGCTGTGGATATAGCTCATTTTGTTTAATTATCTACCTATTGAAAGACACCTGAATTTTTTTTCTAGTTTGGGGCTATTATAAATAAATATGCTGTAAACATTTGTGTACAGGATTTTTGTGAGCATAAGTTTTTATTTCTCTGGGATAAATATTCAAGGGTATGATTCCTGGGTCAAATAGTAAGAGTATGTTTAATTTATTAAGACAATGCCCAAGTGTTTTCCAGAGTGTCTGTGCCATCTTACATTTCTAGAGACTATTCTATGGATGTGTTTATTATCTCTCTTCCTCCTTAGAATGCCAGCTACACAAAGCTGAGCATGGTGGCACATTCTTGTAATCCAAGAACATGAGCTGCTGAAGCGAAAAGATTGAATTCAAGGCCAGCCTGAACTATAGACCAAAAACCTTCCTCAGAAACAAAACAAAATACAATACTAATTTATTAAGCACTTACTGAATACCTGCTGTTCTGGGAACTCATATAGGCTGGGAATATAACAGTGCTACACAGACACAATTTCTTCCCTTGCAGAGCTTGCATGCTAGTTCTTGGCCTTGTGCTCTCCAAAACCTTAAAAGCATAGACAAGCACATGCATACAAAAGTGATAGTAAACAGAGGATATGGTGGCACACATCTGTAATGCCAGCACTCAGGATGCTGAGGCAGGATTTCCATGAGTTCAAGGCCAGCCTGTGCTACATAAGCAGGTTCAAGGCCAACCTGCACTGCATAGTAAGACCTTGTGTCAAATTTAAAAAAAGAAAGAAAGAAAGAAAGAAAGAAAGAAAGAAAGAAAGAAAGAAAGTGAAATATCAGAAATGATAGTAAAAACCTTTAATAACCTGTACAGTAGGAGCCAGCCAATCAGAGTATGAGCCACTGAGAACACTGAAACACTTGGAGGCCTCCTCGTTGTTTCAGGAATTAACCTCTTAGTTGGCCTCTATTTGTCAATACATCCCAAGGAAGGGACCCAGAAAACTTAAGGCAGGGGCTCCTTGCCAACCAGTGTGAAAGAATTCCTCAATATTTTTACAACCTGTATGATTATACCAGTGCATCCCAATTGAGTTGCAGCCTTACATAACATGTACATACATGTACATACAATCCTCATTATCTGCAAATTCTGTGTTTTCAAATTTGCCTGCTCCCTAAAATATATTTGTAGCCACCAAAATCAGTATTTATTTCTTTGTCATTTGCAGACATTAACAGTGCATGAGAAATTTCAGTTGTCTTGTGCATATGTTTATAGCTGAGATCAAGCAAGACACTGTTCTTTCTCGTTGTGTCACCTGTCATATAAAGAGATGCCCTGAGGCTGGGGACAGCAGGAGGCAGTGCAGGATAATGAAAAGCTTCAGCTCGGGCCAGTTTCATGGGGTTTCAATCCCAACTCCAGCACCTATGAGTGAAAAACCCTTAAGGCAAATCAATTAACACTTGTGATCCTTGTTTTTTCTTAGTGGAAAAAAATAGAATCTACCAGGATGAGTTATTTAGGATTTAGGATTATAATCTGTGGAAAATATTGGAAAAACAGTACAAATCTGGGTATGGTGGCACATGCCTGTAACTCTAGCACTTGTGAGGCTGAGGCAGGAGGATCATTATGAGTTTGAAGTCAGCCTGGGCTACAAAGTGAGTTTAAGGCCTGCCTGAACTACATAGTGAGACCTTGTCTCAGGAAAAAAAGACCAAAAAAAAGCGCAATGTTCACTAATTCAGTGTCCAAAGTGACACTATAGACTCTCTATGACTAACAACACTCAACTGAGAATCTTCTTTCTCAAAGGTACTATAGCTAAAACTTCTGAAGATTTCCAACAGGTATCCAATGGTATGCCCCGGCACTACAGAAAATAGTACTATGTCCACAGCAGGCACTTGGCACCTCATGAGTACAAGAACACT